ACTAACAAGCCAGAGAATGTGCCCTGAATTTGTACATATGTGCATAACCTTGCGTTGTTGATATGTCAGTCCCAGATTATGTTTCCGCAGTGAAACTTGACTCTTTTCCGTGTGTTTTGGCTGCAGAGAGAAACATGGGAGTTTTCAAAGCAGATGCAAGTTTGGGCAGTCAAGGGAAAATCTTTACTATTCAAGCCTGGAACCTTTAACACTCGCCCACAAGAACCATCAATATCCTTTCAAGTGTGAAACCTTCATTTTGCTCTCTAAGAGTGTCTTTTTTTTACTTCTTAGCATCTATCTAAGTGTCCTCTGATGTCCTCTGTTTCTGTAATCATGACCCTGAAAGGCCTGTCTGCCCTGTCATCCTGCAAAGCAGAGGAATAATAGGAGGGGAGCTAACCTCACACTCATCTACACATCCAGTTGACAGAAAATCACGGACAGCTAAAGAGTCACAAAGATTCTTTTGTTGCAGAAACCAAAATGGCCTCTCACAGCTTCCGTTCTCCTCAGCACAAAAACAGGGGCCCAGTCAGAATACCTCATATTGTAGCTCCTACTTCCTGTTCCTGGCTTATACTCCTTCGCCTTTCGTGGGGTCATCAGTATAAACGCTATCCAGGGTAGAAATGGAACTCTGGACTCCATTCAGCCTTATTAGTATCACTAGGAGCACATGATTGATGCTTGTCCAATTAGGACGACAACCTCCCGGAAAGGAACTGCAAAAAACAAGAGTACCACAAATATAGTGAATGGCTGAAGTTCTCCAGCATAAAATATAAACACATAAAGATGTCTAGAAATGCATGTGTCCCACAGAATATACATAAGGAAATAATGTATTTTTGTTTTAAAAAAATGAACCGTGCTTTGCCATAAAGGTTGTGGGCAACTGTACAGCTCCTAGCTACTTCTATGAATGTCAGGGGGTCCCTATGCTAACAGAATAGGTGAAACCATACTGGTTCCTCTTCCTATCTCCTTTCCTACTCACAGCACTATTGGACAGGATTTATTTTGGTGACCGGTCACACAAGTGTTTTTAACGATTTAAGGTTTTCAGATTGAACCAGAGCCATCCAAAGCATGAGCAAACTAGGGTTTCCAGGCCAGCAGGGTTTCAAGGCCAGGCCAAAAAGACCTGACTTCAAAAGTGATTTATTAAAAATGTTTATTTGCAATGAAAAAAAAAAAAAAAATAGTTTTAAAAGTTTATGGACATTCAGAAAACAAATTGCAATATTTATGTAGAATTTAAAAGAACATACAAATACACAGATTTTAATTAAACAGAAGTATATTCCATATTATATAAAGTTAAAGGAACAGTGAAATATTGTTATGAATTAGTGCCTTTTTGATGTAGGCCAAATTGCAGGGCAAATTATCAGCCAATTTATCAATAACATAATAAAACTAGTCCACCTATGCCTCATCACCTGAGCCTACACTGGAGTATAACTCTGAGTACACAATTCGAAGATTAAATACAGACGTCAGAGAAATAATCTTTTCTTTGGAATATATTTATTGCTTTTTATTTGAGAAATAGTGAAGGCTAAAACTGGAGCCAAATTCTGCTTTTTTATTATTTTACAATGATAATAAAAAAGTAAGATTTTTTTCCTTTATCTTTACATTACAATTGTTTTGACCAAAATCGGGTGAAAACCTTTTTGGTTTGGGCATTTTTTAAAGAACCTAAAATGAAATCTATCACCCAATGCACATAAAACCTTGTCTTACATCTGAAATTTACAGATGGACTAACTTTATTTGGGCTTTTCTATACTGGCTGCTCAAAGTGCTTCCATATAGAGTTGTATTCACCCATCACATTCACACTGATATAGAGATCAGGAGGCATCTTGGCATTAAAAGCAACCCAGGGTTACAACATGTGACATGTGACAAGAGGAACTGTAGTCAAACCCACAACTTTTGCATTGCAAGACAACTGGTTGTCTTAACACTGATGATGTGTCATCACAACAGGAAGCAAGAGTCATTTCCTAACTCTAGCAAATCTGCCCTCATTTTGTGTGGACAAATAAGTAATTTGCCATATATATCACATCAAATTCAATTAATCGTTGGAAGCATTTTAAGCTTGCTACCAGTGTAATTATTTACACTCCTATATATCCATACAGATTTAGTCATTTTTTTGTGAATTTTCACTAAAGTATTCTTTTAATGTGTTCAGATACAACAAAAAAAGCAGGGGAAGTATTATAAACAGAAAACATAGGAATATGTAGAACAAGATATTAAAGATAAATAGGCTTGAATGGAGATAAGAGACTTAATCTGTGGAGTGTTTTAATATCAAATCAACCTTTCAAAGATCTCATTAGGAAATCGTCAAATCCAGCAATCATAATGATTTCAAAAGTAGATTATTATTCCAAAGGCAATTTAGGGAATACTTACAGTAGAATTGGGAACTATTGTTTATTGGTGATCAACAGGCAAGGAAAGGCAAGTTTATTTTTAAAGGTCCATTCATATATTTACAAAAAACTCATTTACATTCATAAGAATTATAAAATATACATACATATATATACATACATATATATATATATATATATATATATA